CTGTCAAATAAATAAATAAAATCTTAAAAAAAAAAAACAAACCCAACTGTCCTGGGATTCTTAGATGGTCTAAAAACTACGTCTGGGTGGTGGGGGAGAGCGCGGCTCTGTTCTGCCCCTGGTGCTGGGAGGGGAGTCACTCTGGCTCCCGGGTGCTGGGGTAAGTGTCCAGATCTCTCGCAGGCTCCGGGAACCCCGAGCCTGGGAGGATAGGATGCCGTGCCCCCCGGCTTGAAGGACAAGGAGAACATGTTTCTCAGGGAGACTTTCAACGGGAAGGCCAGTGTCTCCAGGAGGGTAACTCTCCCCCATTTTCTGGAGGTAAGAGGATGACGTCCTTCTGGAGGGAGGGACACAGTGGGCAGGGGGACAGCAGGGGGCGGGCTCAGACTCTCTGGCACAGAGCCAGCCGCCCGGTCCGCAGCTCTGTGGGTGCAGAACGCGGGACACACGCTGTTCCCCGTGGCCGGAGTGCGTACAGAAGGCTGGCATCACTGCCCGCTGAGTTTCTGCCACCACCCGGAGGGAAAGCAGCTGGGCCGGGCCTTGCAGATCAGGGGCCCCGGTGTCCCATCTCTCAGGGTACAGGGAATATGATGTTTCGGGCGACTCTGAGGCCTGGGCCAGTGGGAACTCCGGGCAGGGGTGCAGGTGAACTGCAGTCCAATAAAGAGGGACCGTTTCTTCCTCCAGAGCAGCCCACGGACCTCATAACCTCCCAGCCTTTTGGAGGAAGGCAGCTGGAGGGAGGATGAGGAAAAGCAGAGTTGGGGATACACCTGCCACAGTTCAGGGCTCCTTCTGACTTTCTCTTCCTGGTGTATTATCTGCGAATGTGGCTATTTTGCGGGCAAAGGATGGGGGTGGCCGCCCATACCTGATTTTTCACCGGTGACACAAACTTCCCTTTTTTCCTCCAGTCCACGAAGGGCGGGTAGGGACCAGTCCCCCGAAGGTAGTTACCTTTGGTGGCTGAGCAATTCTGGAAGGACCAAGTACAATTCTTTCAGGAGAACGAAAAGCTTTTTTGATAGAAAAATGTGCAATTAGAATCACCAAGAGAGCATGAGAAAGACTATCTCTCTAAGAACCATCCTGCCCCCACCTGCTGGGTCCAAATGCTAGATGACCTGTCCCTCTGGGAGCACCGGCGGGGTGGGGGGGGCGGCGAGGACCAGGGAGCCAGATTTAACAAATAAAAATACAGTTCACATAGTTCAGTTTTAACTTCATATAAACAAGGAGTAACTATAGCGAGAGTATGTCCTGCCCAGTATTTATGATGGATTTACCCTGGAAGGCTAGGTGTTATGTACCTGAAATTCAGTTTTATTTTCAAAATTGTTTTAACTGTGCATCTGTGTTTTTTCCGGCAACCCTAAGTTCGGGGCCCACGTGGCTGAGGCCAGGGCCGTGGACTGAGGAACCGCTGGGAGCCACCTGACTTCCCAGGAACCTGGGGCCCCCTGAAGCTGGGTGGGGCGCAGTCTGGCTGGGAGCTGAGTGGACTCTGAACTTATTCCAAAGGTCCGAGTGGAAAGAGTCAGATTTGGTCACAAGGAACGACACCTACCTGAGGCTCCGACCAAAGATACTTGCGTTTTATTTCAGCAAAGCTCATGTCTGAAAACTGGTTCAGCCCCACTGAAAAAGAAGGAAAAACAAAAAAACCCAAAGAAAAAAGAGGCGCTCAATAAGACAGTCATAAAGAAACAGAAAAAAACCAAGAAACCCCAAGTTAACCTGGGTCCTATTTCTAGCTGCAGCAACTGGCTTCTTTTTAGGTTTTAAATGGAATTTAACTGAATATACCAGGGTCAACGTTCTCTGGGCTTCAGAGCTACACACATCTGGGCTGCACGGCGGGGCTGTGGGTGCGGGTAGCGTGCAGGGGGGCCGGGCACCCAGCGTGTAGACCCACCGGAGAGTCCGTGGGCGTCCCGGTGAGGAGCCTGCCCAGGTGCATTCCCACCTGCACCCCCTCCGGTCCCCACATCGGCCCGGGGCGGGGAGTGTTCGCATCTCCCCACGACAGCCGGGTAGAACGTGAGACGCTCGTCGGCCCCCCACAGTCCCACAAATGAGATGTGGGCACAAATGAGATGCGGGCACCGCTTCCCCATCTTATGCCTGTTGCCCACATTCACAACGTGCCTGACGCTGCGTGTGTGTCCGAGGTCAGAGCCCGGTTCTGCCACCCAGCAGTCCAAGGGCAGGGCTCGGCGTCTGGGACGGACCCTGGGCTGGCAGGAACGGGCGGGGCTTGTACAGCGTCTCCCGTAAACTCTGCGACCACCCAGCGGGCCACCAGCACTGAGCTTCACTGAATCTCCGAGAACCAACAGCAGAGCCAGAACCTGAGGTCAGCTCGGGACGGCTTCGGGCCCTGCGCTCTGACCATCCCTCCACCCTAAGTCCCCGGTGGGCCTTCAGTCATCACTGGTTTCTGAGACGCGGCCGCGAGGAGCCTGCAGGAGGGCAAGCCCACAGTACTTTTAAATGTGTGGTTCCCAGCGTTGTGGGCATTTATCTTCCTCCGGTTGCTGACAAACGTCTGCAGCCTGTGGTGGTACTCCTCTGAGCTGTATTTCTTTTGGTGCTAAAACAAAACACATCAGCTTACGGTAAGTCATGGAAGCAAGATGCAGCTCACCAGGAGGAGACAGTCTGTTTTCTAAGAGGAGGGACGGAGGTTTTCCTTCCGGCACGATTCTGGAGCCAAAGCCGCGTTAGGAGGCAGGACACTGCCGCGGGTCTCAGCTGTGGAAGTCAGGAGGTTACAAAGCACACGCCGGGCCTCCAGGGACCTGAGGCCAGCCCGAAGCCTCGCAGCTGCCCGGAATCAGCCGGCATCCCAGAGGCCCTGGTGAAGAGACATGCCGAGTGCAGGCCCTCCACGGACGCCACGGCGGGGCTGGCTCCCGTCTCTGGCAAAAATCACCCTTTTGCAAAAGCACGTGCACTAGAGTTCTCCAATTAACTTTGCAGCCAACACGCAACGTCCCTGAATACAAAATATGGACACGGGTCCCAAGGCTGGAAGGCTGCCAGCCACCTTCATCACTGGGGACAACTGTTTGGAAGGCGTGGACCTAACCGGATCTTTCCCACTTTGGCCAATTCCCAGTCCCGAAAGACCCAGGGGTGTGGGCTGGGAAAAGCCTTCCCCATTGTCTCCAATCTGGCACAGTCGGGTTAGGTAACAGACAACAGAGGAATGAAAAGCTTCAGGAAGAAGCTGAGCACTGACCTGCACCATCCATGACTTGAAGTGAACTTTCTCTGTAAAAAGAAAAAAAAAAAAAGAAAGAAAGACATGAGGCCGGGGCGCCTGGCCATGAAGTGGAACCTTCAGCCAAGCGGGGCACTTGGGAGCCGATTTGCATTTCAGGAAACTAGGTGACAGAATGCAGAAGTCCAGCTCGTCCCGCAGGGGTGGTAGCAACTGAGGTAACTCCTGACAGTCAGGACGGGGGATGTCCCCAGTGCGGGCGTCTTCACCTGCTTCTGCTCATACAACGGCGCGTGGATTGTGGAAATTCACTGAAACGTGATTTAACGACTTGTGTACTTTTCTGTATGATATATTTCAGCACGCAGTTAGTTAAAAAACATATACTCCGAGGGTCAGCATATTTTTTCTTCAAGGGACAGGTAACAAGTACCTTGGACTTCGCCGTGTCTGGTGCTCTCTGCCCCAGCAGACTTGGGGCACAAAAGCAGGCGGGCCTGCTGTTTGTGGAAGGACCCCCCCGGTTACCTGCCCTTGTGTATGTCTGAGTTACCTAAAATTTCATCCTAAATTTAAACAGCCACAAAGAATGTATTCCAGCTTATTGGAAATACCGTCATTTTAATTTTTAAAAAAAATTTTAAGTAGGCTCCACGCCCACGGTGGGGCTTGAACTCACGATCCTGAGAGTAATAAGAGTCGCACGTTCTACGGACCAAGCCAGTCAGGTGCCCCCTAAATACTGTCATTTTAAAATAAGACTGCCACATCCTTCTTTTAAAGCTAGCCGAGGGAATCTGCGTACCATCTGATTTGACACCCGCCGTCAGTAACACGCACATAAGGAAGCGTATGTTTACACTGGATGCCCTACCATCCTTGGATGCAGCCACAGGACAAAAAGTATACACTGAAATTACTTTTGCTTCCTGTGACTCACACATCTCTGAACATTATATGAATTTATTCTGAATTGAATACTCCTCATCAACACCCCAACTGATTAAAATATTTCAAATATAGGGATGCCTGGGTGGCTCAGTCGTTAAGCATCTGCCTTCGGCTCAGGTCATGATCCCAGGGTCCTGGGATCGAGCCCCGCATCGGGCTCCCTGCTCAGCG